ATATTTTAACGCCTAAAAAATATGGAAAAGAACATATTTTATTGTATTATATATATGTTTATTTATTTTTTAAATTTTACATATAATTTAAGCCGAGTTTTTAATTCACAACAACCTCCAAATTTATTTATTTTTATTTTAAATTTTCTTTGTTAGTCAAGTTTGTTAATCTAATTAATATTAAATTAATCAAGAAATGTAAATTTTGATTTTTATTAATATTTTAATTTATTTTATAAAGAATATTATGTCAATTCTACAAATTCTTCAGATGAAGATGAGTAAAGCTCACCTTGGCTCCAATTTGATACATTTTTTACACTAATAAAGAAAAGTAATACAAAGTTTACACTTTGTAAGTGTAAATTGTCCCATGTCAAATTTTAATGAAAAATTGGATATCTGATTAAACTTGTTATAACATGATGTAACTCTTTCTATACCTCTTTGAAATTAATAAGAAAATATCCATTAATTTGACGAATCTTGTGATAAATCCAAATTATATAAATTTTTAGATAATGAAAAGTCGTGATGAATATTGTATGGCTATATATATAATTTTATAGATTATGGAACCTGTTCCTACGGGATCAATCAGATATGCCGCTTGAAGTAAAGTTTTTTATTTTTTTTAAAATTCTATAAAATTGAAACAAATTACCGTATTGGACTATAAAAAACACAGTATTTAAAATTTTATATTTTGAATGTAAAAATTTGAGTATATAATTGTACTAAATTTTAGTCCTGAAAAAATAAAACATCTTTAATATTTCTAGGACTGGTCATTAAGCTGTTTAACATTTTAAATTTCTTTTTTGAGGTCAACAAAATTTTTTATAAAGAATTCTACTTTATATATTCAGTCAAATCTGCCTAATTTGGCCTAATTATTGGTTTATTAATTTTTTAAAAGATCCGCATTTCTCTCCATAAATAAATTTATCTATAATAAACAAACCATTTAAAAAATTAATATAAGAACAACATTATATTTTAAATCAGAATAAATTAAACCAGAAGAAGCAGCTGTTGAGCAAACAAAATTGGGCTCCAATATAATATTAATTTAAATAATCATGTTACATATACATTTAACTAAAACTTACTACAATTATTTAAGACAAGTTATGTGTTAATCTTAGAGATGTGTTACGATAGATTGGCTGTTTAGGAATTCTAAGATGACTTAGAAGGCATGGGAGACGACATTTAAGACTAATATTTCCTGTACAACCAACCTTCTCTTGTGAAATCAAAAATATTTTTCGAAACTTGAGCAAGTTATTTTTACATTTAGGCCCTTTGTTTTGTAATAGTTGTAGAAGAGATGGTACAATTTCTATTTCATCTTTCTGAATTTTTAAATGTCATCTGTCATCCTCACCAAAATGACTCCAAAATATAATAACTTAACTAAATACCTAGTTACTTTAACAACTCTAATTTATTTATATTATAAATTTTTTTTATCTCTTTAAAACTATTTTTTCAAATAACAAATTCATATAAAAAGTTAGCCATAATTAAAAAAATTATAGTAAATAAATTTATAAATCATAACCCTAAAATATAATGTGCTAAAAGACTAATATTTCAAAAGAAACTGTTCACAATATTCATACGCCATAAATAAAACCAATAAGCAAACAAATACATCTATTTCATAAATTGTTTGTAAAAGTTTAGGTATATATTAGGTCAATGTGTTATATTTTAACTTTAAATCCATTTTAAGCATAATTTTAAAAAATTTGATTTTATAGGAAATGTATTCCAGGATGTTTAGAGTATCTACCTTATAAATATCAGATAATTTTATTATAAAAAATTGAACTTAATATAATATAATTCGTTGGTCCTTAGAGTTTTTGCAGAAATTATAATAACTTAAAAGTAAATAGCAAAATTATCTGAAATTCATAACTTTTTTTGTTTGATTAAATAATTACTAATTTAGATTATTAATATTTTGGATAAATATTATCCTTAGGCATTTATTATTCACAAAAAAATAAGAGCTAGCATTTTTAATTTAATTAATGATAATGAAGATGTATTGACTGGCCAATATTTATATATTTATTATGAAATGAAAAGTTTGCGTAAAATATCATTTATAAAAATGCAAATGATAAATTACAATGGCAATTGATGATATAAATCGTTAATAAAAATATCACACCTTCAGTATTAATTAAATTTAATGTTCCTAGAAAAACTTTAAAAAGTGCAAAGCAAAAACATAGAGACTTTGTAATATTCTCATATGAACCCAGGAGGAAATTTATATGATTATATATAATACAAGTTAGCATATCATAAACAGGGTTTAGTATAAAATAACATATGTTAAAATATTTTTTAATTATATTAAATTAATATATCGAATTATTCTTAGATAATTATATAAATAGATTATTAATTATATAAATATGTTTTTAAATGATTTTAATTATATATTATAAATACCTGTTGGAATTTAATTAAATAAATTTATATAAAGATTATTTATTTCATGCTAAAAATTATTTATAGATAAGAATATTTGTTAGAAAGAAAATATGAGTTAAAATTTCCTAAATCTAAAGAAAAGAACAATGAGGGGCTGTGCATTATATTAGAAAAGAATATTTAAAAGGAAGGAAAGGTAAGAGTGAATTAAATGCATGCATTATGAAGAATCGGCTTATATAAATATATATTTAGTTGCTTATTTATGTAAATAAATATATTATATGTTTCTCATTTATAAAATTAATAAAATAGTTTTCATTGTTATTGTGTATTCATAATATACATATAATAAATTAATTCTATGTTATTATACATCGCAAATTTATAAATTGATGAATGGATAAATTATTGAAATAAGCATTTTAATTTTATAGATAATTAAGGTAATAATTTATAAAATCAGTAAATATATCAATAAATAAACATAAATTAAGATAATATTTTATAAAATTATATTAATTGGATGAGTCTGATGTTAAGTTGTTATGATAATATTAAATAAGTTAGTGTTAAATGATAAAAACTTAAAAATGAAGATTAACATAGGTTATTTTACAAATATTTTATATTCTAATATTTTATAATAAAATTTTTAAATAATATATTATGGTCATTTAACACATAGCTTATGGTTATACATAGTATGTAGCAAGTTAACACAAACCATTTAACTAACCAGAAAAACCACTCAAAATTATTATGGATAGAATTATTCAAATTTTATTATAAATTCTAAGGATTATTGATATTCATTTTGTTCAATTAAACCCAAATTCTCTTCTTGAAAAAACAAAATAATGATGAGTCATACCACCTCTCTCCTACTATTAACATGCTGAAATACATTTTCGTTAAAATCTGATTCTTAAGATATAAAAACGCACCTAAAAATTGATTTAAAGTTGAAAAAATAAGACATTTATGTTAACATCACTAATTTTATTCAAGATTTTGATGAATTAGAAGTAAAAAAATAATTTGATAATAGTTAAATTTCTTGGTCACAACGAGGCCCAAATTAGACAGTTTGACTATATTATAAAACTAGTTCTAGATAAATAAATTTCTTTCGTTTATCTTAATAAATTTTTTTCAAAAAGTATCAAAGCTTTTGGTTAAAATAATAAATTGCTATATTCTGTAAATTGTCTAAAAATTGATTTGTGAAATTGGATCTGGATATCACGAAGGATATTCTTTACCTTAGATACAATAAAATTAATGGGATCCTATGAAAATTACAGTTTTAAAAATATCAAATCTATATTTTAGAGAAAAATATGTAATATATTAATTAGAAACAAAAATTTTAAACAGAGCTTAATATTCGAATAAAGAATATAATGAAAAATAGAAGGGGTAAATAATGTTACAATAATTAATTGTTTATTTATCAAATATATTTTATGTAAAAACAATTATTTCTAAAAAATTTCTTTGAATATTAAATAATTTATTATCATCAATTCTAACGTAAATACAAACTACCAAACCTGATCTACTATTTCAAGACCCAGAAAAATATATTAATATTGGAATAAGGAAAAAATCAACATAGTTAGTAAAATGTTTTCTTAACCGGAAAATCAACAAATGAAAGTTAAAGATATGGCTAAATATATTGGAATGTTTACAGCGCCAGTTCATAAATTAAGACGATATACATTTTCGGTAAATGCACTATTCAAAATAAAGGAAATAAGGAAAAAAATTCATCTATCATTGAAAGAAATATTATTGACTTATTAACGGCTAATACTTTTACGATAAAAGACATTAGTAAAAAATTTACCACTTGATAGTCCTAAAAATTGGGCAACAATAAGAATATATAAAAAATATTAACTGGACGAATAAAAGATCTGGAAAGATTCTGACAGATGAAATACGCATAGGGTCTCCCGAGGATAAAGATCCCATCCTCGAAAAGTAAAAATGTTGTTAGTATTCTTTTGGAATCAGAGAAGGAATTCATTATAAAATTAAAGGAGCTTATAATGGTGCATTATTCTGGGTTGTGTTATCACAGTCGATCTTCGAATTCAAATAACATATGGAATGATTTTATATATTATGATTTTATAATAAAATGAAATATATAAACATATTTTTATCGAAATAAATTGAATTTAAATTAAAGAAAATAAATCCTAACAAATATTAATATTTAAAATTTCTTGAAAGATTTTTTATTCATAACAAATCCCATAAGTGTTTTACAAAAAATAGTTGGAGTTTTAAAAAGTTAATAAATTGTAAATTTTTTTAAAAATTAATTTTTGCTTAAAATATATTTTATAAATAAACAATTGATTTTTAAACATTATTTATTCTTTTTATTTTTCATTATATTCTTTAATCGATTAATAAATATGCTTTGTCTAAATTTTTTTGTTTTTAATTAATATATTATATATTTTTCACTGTATAATCAAAATATAGAATAATAGAACATATCTAAAACGAGATTTGAAATATGTTCATGAAAGAAAATACATCGCCCATAAACCTACTGCATCATTGGCCCCAATATCTTGAATAAGCTGCAAAAAATCTAAAATTATATTAAGCAAATATAAATTATGGTAAATAAAATAAAATCTTAATTAAAATATTATATGTTAAAACCTTCAATGGCAGCAGGATTCAACTCTGCATATATAAATAGGGAATGGTAAAAAATATTATGTAAATATAAAGGATGTTATTGTAAAAATCGATAAATATAATACCTTGAGGAAAATGGACAAGATTAGGCTCTCCTTGAATAAATAACAAATTTAAAATTCTAATATTATAAAATAATCAATATCACAAATATGCAAAGCATACTCCATATTCTAAAACCTATTATATATTTCTATTTTTAATAAGTAACAAATTGCTTTAGATTATCAAAGCAAAAATTTATAAAAAATAGGTGTATATATTTATACCTTCTATTCCTTGCAAAAATTCCTCTAAATTTTCTATATTTTTTGCAATAAGTACATAATAAAAAATGTTTAATATTAAATAATATAATCAAATTTTACCGAAATTCGCTTTAGGAATGTCCCTTGGCCCTATTACATATTATATTATATATCTTTTTTTAATCGTATAGTTTCTTTATTTATAAACACATTTTGGCCTTTTGCAATTTCATGATGTTTTTTTTTAAATTGAATAGGTTTAAATCCGAATGGACACAATTTAAAAAAATCACTCTGTCTTTGAAAAGTCAATGTGTCATTATGAAAATGGGGGTAATGATGTATGACGTTGATAGTTCTTAATTTTTTTTATGTGTTTCATTAAAATATTAGATGGCGTTGTAATTTTATCCTAATATACAAAAAATTTTGATGCATTCGAACAATTTGTGGCCTAGTCGGCTCAGTCTATATATAACAATTTGATTGTTCTGGATTTGAATCTAGCACTGATCATTATTCTTCTGGGTTAATTAGATGCTTTCGTGGGTGATATCTAGTAGATAGTACTCGACGACGTGATTCCGTTATTATATATTAAATATAAATATTAATCGTTATTTAGCAGTTAGACTAACGTCATATATCATTATCTCAAAAAAGCTATATATGAATTATAAAATAAAAATGATTATTGGGATAAATTCGAAAATAAAACTAATTTGAATAATTGTAAAAATATTATTATACTCTAATTATGAAAAAACAAATTCTGATGTTGTTATATTAAATATTACTTTTAGATCTAGTTTTCTGGTGGATTATGTATTTACCGTTAGGTCTATTCATTTGAGGCGTTTTATATGAGATAATATAAGTTATATTTCGTTCTAAATGATTTTGAAAATATCAAAATTAAAGAATTTAAAAAAAAATTATTTTAATAGGAAATCATATTGCAAGAATAATATTTCGATTAATTCAATTTGTATAAACACCTCATCTTACTAATTTGAGCAATATTTTTTCAAAATTTAAACTTTAAACCATACCTACTCTGCTTTAAAACGATTTTATTTCAGATAGTTAAAGTTAAATTCACAAAATGGTATAAAACACTTTTTGGTAAAATATGTTATCTAACCTTCAGTTTGGTTAGATCTTTGATCATAAGCTACCACAACTAAGGTCAAACTGCAATTCCGTTTAGACATTTTTCCATTTCTGAGTGATTCTAATTAAAATAAAATTTTTTATTAACAACATAGATAGACCACTTATTTTGGTAAATATATTGTATGTTGAAATTTTATGTATTTCAAAAATTTGTTGTTCCATAATTCTAAACATAAAGTATACAAAATAAATATTCTATTTATTTTAAAATAAAGTCCATATATTTTTTAAAATTAATTTACTATATCATATTACCTTAATGAATAAATATTAAAATAGCAAAAGAAATTTAGTCTTATACTCTTTAAATAACTTTAGACCCTAATGCTATCTTTTACATGATTAAACTATAAAATAAAAAAAAACCCCAAGCAACTATGGGCGCTATAAAGGTATAATTTAAGATAGTACTTTTTTTATTTTCTGAGACTCTGAAGATAGCAAGACTCTTGGGGTAGGAAGATAAATATAAAATTTAACATACAAAACACTAATCTTTAAAGTTAAGATGAACACTTATTATTTACAAATGTAAATTTTTATAAAAATTAATCTTCACAATATGTGCTCATATAAAATGGACCATTCTTAGCACAACTTGAATATATCGATTAGGAAACATTTGGTATGCTTTATCTAGTGTATGCGTTTTTTTACTATAGTTATAACTTTGTACGCAACGCACATTACACAATTTCAATCTAATTTTAAATTTTTTATATTTTTTTATAAAATTTTAATAATTCTTTTCTATGCAATTTAATGAGCTTTTATTAGCCATTTAAACCATTTCTGTTTAGCTCTTATAATGATTTGAGACCCTAGAAAATTTTCTGAATGAATAATAACATCTAACAAATTTAATAGATTGTCTAGTAATTGCGAAATGTCTCATTTGTTTTTGATCGATATTTAAATATGGGGATCCCGTTACTAAATAAACATAAGGTACAATATATGAGAAATATATCTTTTTACAAAATCTGAAACAATTAGCGCTAAAAATGAAAGAGATTTAGACATTTGTGTCTGCTATTCAGCTAAAATCATAATCTAATAAATATAAAGATTTCAGCCATTTAAATAAAGTTTTGTAAACAAAAAATTTATAATGGTATGGAATAAAAAAATATAGCTATCAATAATAAATATATATTATTGTATTTATTTTATTATTTATAATAAGTTTTTAGACATATTAATATAGGAAAATTTAATAAAATAATCAAATGACAAATAACTTCTCATCTATTACTTAATCTGGTAAATTTGACATGCCATGTGGTGCCATGTGGCACATTAAATAATTATTTAATATTTTACCCATAAAATAATTAATTTTTTTATTGAAATAAACCATTACATTTAAAATCATACCCTTTAAACTTCTTGGAAAGACCATTATGAGTAAGCTTGGTTTAGTTCTGTAAGTCGATATATTGGCGAATATTATAGAATTGGAATCTAATAATAATAATTAAATTGTGTAGAAACTTTGCTATTTTTTAAATTGTTTCTTTATTTAATTTAAAAATATTACGAATTAAGGCTTATCATCATGTAGATAATAAATTAAAATATTATTATTAAAATTATTTTGAAAATTAAAAATATCCAGAAATAAATTGTACAAGAAGTAAAAAAATATCTATATCATATCTATTTTTAAGTCACGCTTATCATTCACTATTTAAACACAAACTATTTTAATATTTTATTAATTATACAAATTCATTTCAAGTGTTGCCATAGAATTAAAATGTAAATTTTGAGGTTATGAATTTGATATGGATAATGTATGCTTATATATGCACAAAATAAATAATGAACGCTAAGAAAAAAATAATAAATTCTCTAAATTTTTAATGATCAGGTATAAAAAAAAAATTTCTAAGAAAAAATAGCAATTGTTGCGATATATTGGAATACTCAGATTTAGATAGTGTTAATTGCTCAGATATATACACATTAGACTATTTTTTAATTATGAATAGATTTTTTAAAAACGATTTTAATTTAGATGATATCAAAAATGAAATATATATTTAAAAAACAAATAAGAATATATAAAAATCATAAAAATATATTCAAAAAACATTGAAAAGAACTTTAAAAAAGGTGTTAGATATCACCCTAGAGTAGAGTTATTCTTCATTGGAGTCGTTTGTAATCTGTTTCCTCTATTGTCTATGGTTTTAATAAAATTAAGGCCCTCATTTCCGATCATGCCTAAAGTGTTGGCAACTATTGGTATAAATATGTGTTTGTGAGGCCAGTATATTTGTTTTAAGAACATCTGCCTTTTCAATAGCCGAGTAGTATCCCGGAGGATAACTTAGTTAGTTTATTATAATGCAATTAAAAAGAGGTAATTATCATAATTAAGAATTTTTCTATTATTTAGAGTTTGAAGATATTTTGAGAAATCGTCATAAGCAAAAATAAGCATGTTTAATTTATAAATAATTATATATCTTTATATTTTTCGAATCTGTAAAAGATATATTGTTCCATCCCCATAACTTCCATACAACCGAACTCTAGTTCCTCACTCATCTCGGCTCCCAAATTAGTGGTTTAGAATCCATAAATCACTTCACTAACGCATCATCTAGCTTACTCCATTTTAAAAACACCTCCAAGCATTTTACTCATGATCAAACTCTTTTCTCCTCAATTATTACATTTCTAAAATTCTTTACGCTCTTCGATACTCAATTTTAAATTTCTTGATACATTAAAAATTATTTGAAACAAAGCTCTTGCTGTAGAGATCCTTAATCTACGCTTTATTCATAATTTGTGGTTACAAACCTCATTTCCATGCAAGCACAGTCTCTCATCTGATCCATACATTCGCCAGCTTTTCTCCCTTTTCTGACTCTTGCTAACCGTGGTCCATGCCATATGGGACAATTTCGCTGTTTAAACACTCCACGATCTTCCTCGTGTTCACAGAAAGATTGGGATATTTCACTCAATGCAAGCTTGGTCGGTAATCTAAAATCGAGTCTTTATGATGGCTAGCATACAGTTTTTCAGTTTCTGGAAACTATACCCTCCAAAAATCTCGATTTGCTGCTTTCCGCTAACACCACTCAATTATGAAATTGTTCTACCGTATGTATGTAAACACTGTAAAACTAGCTAGTAAAGGTAGACATTGCAGCTTTTGTCGAGATTTCATTTTGTTTGACCTAAATCTGCAGGCATTCCATCGAGATTTGAACAAACAGGTTTATTTATAACCGATGAAAAACTCCCTGATGGAATATCCTTAATTCACTGGTGGTATAGCCCTCCACTTGCATTCATAGGCGTAGCCAGGATTTTCCTAAGGGGGGAAATTAAAAAATTTCTGGGGGCTTCACCCTCAGACTACATTTTCCCACTTTTGGCGGGTCTTCGGCCAGGTTACCTTAGTCTATATTTAGTTATAAAATATTTTTACAAGATAGGACGTTAATTTTAATAAAAAAAATAAGCCTGGAACAAATATGAAATATATTTTTATTTATTTATATAAAATATAATAAATTACTTATATATACATTAATATAAAATCATGGTGATAATTTATTCGAAACAAGTTTAAGAAATATATTTATAAAAAGTTAGTAGACATTTAGTTTATATTCCTCTATTATATAGAATTGGTTACAAAATCCTATCTTGTACAGACATATTTGACAGTTAGAGAATATATTACGGTTAATATTTTAACAAATTTTCCTAATCAATGCTCTTAATATATAGCAACAATTTGCATTCAATTATTTAACGCCATCTATTTAAATAATTATTGATATTAAAAAGTTATCTTCATATTATTCATCCCACAATGTCTTTAAAAGATATTTTCTGATGTCCTTATCAATATGTTTTCTACAAAATATATAATTCGATATATTGGTAAAAATGATTTGATTGTCATATGATAATTGATAAAATTAGATATACTGTAAATCTAAGTCATATAATATTCCACTGTTTGTATTATGCTTTAATTTTTTTATTTAATTTATGATTTAATATTATTAATAGTTTTATAATTATATTTTACTTTTATTAGGATAAATTAATTCTCACTTTATAAAAAATTATATTTGATATATTATATTATTTAGTAATTTTATGGATCTATTATTAATAATTATAATACATTTCACTTTTGTCTTAAGACTTATCTTTGGCTTATATTCCATTTCTTGAAAAACATTTTTTGTTCACTTTTTTTATATATAAATGCTTTTTTCCATAATGTATAAATTATGATGAATAGTTTTATAAAAAAATATCAACTTTTACATTCTTTCATTCAAATTATTGCTTAAGATATATGCATACACCGTTGGGGCTCAGGGAGTGGGGGGAGGACTAAGGAAGATATTTTTTATTAGCTTAAAATGATATTCACAAAAAGTGATAAATTTCTGAAGGGGGGGGAGGAATTTCCCATCCCCCCCCCTTGGCTACGCCTATGCCTTCATTGATGCAAATGCATTCACAACGTCAATCTTTTATTGTTTGTCATTTATTACATACAAAATATTATTTTATAAAAGATATCTATCACATCTTTACTCCTATTATCCATACCTAAAACCTAGAAAAATGATTAAAAAAATATCACAATATTATTTATTAGTCTTCATTTGATATATGGATATATTAAAAATTTGATATTACGTTTTTACGTTTAATCATCGCTCAATTTATTTAAAGTTTCTTCGTGATAGGTTAAGTTGTTTAAAGTTTTAGGAAACTATGTATTGATTTTGTCAACTCATTTAAATATTATAAATAATCTCTGTACCAGTAGGGGAGACTGGGGCTAGTTAAATCCTTGAGTATGTCAAACTATTTATAACTATTATTTATTTAAAGACATTAGGATATCAATTATATATAAATATCGATTTTACTAAAATGCATCTATAAACAAAAATATTTTTAAATAATTAATTACTTATATAAGATAATAAATTTTATCGTTTAATAAACCAAATGGTGTTTAATATTGTTTTAATATGATGGACAAATCTAGTTATAGCGGGACTTGCTTATCATTGTTAAACGTCTCGATTTGGGATAATTTTTTAAAAATGTCAATTTCCAAAAAAATATGTAGCTATTATTTAAATATAAATCAATTTTTAAAAATTTTTGGTTATTTTATGAATTACTTATATTAAAATTTAAGTATTTTATATCTCCTAATAGTTTATTAAATAGAAATTATTTTTTAATGTTTGAAATTATAATTTTAAAAATTAATTACTAAATTTATCCTATAAATATCATGTTTCACTAAAATAAATTAATAAATCCAATGGTTTAGAAAATTTGACAAAATGGTTTATGACTAACCTCAATGTTATATCATAAATTTTCTTTCTTCTTTCTTTCTTTCTTTCCTTCTTTCTTTCTTTCTTTCTTTCTTTCTTTCTTTCTTTCTTTCTTTCTTTCTTTCTTTCTTTCTTTCTTTCTTTCTTTCTTTCTTTCTTTCTTTCTTTCTTTCTTTCTTTCTTTCTTTCTTTCTTTCTTTCTTTCTTCTCTTTCTTTCTTTCTTTCTTTCTTTCATTTCCTTCTATCTTTCTTTCTTTATTTTATAATTTAAAAATAATTCAAAGTTCATGGTCTAAAATAATAAATTTTGAAAAAAGAAGAAGAATTTACCATAGTATTTATTGAGAGGTCTATTATCTATACAAGTTTTTTTTATAATTGAAAATTTTTGAATCGATATGAGAAAATCAAAAAGGAATTATTTAATTTTTTCCAACAAAATAAATAGACAGATTATCAAATTATATATGATATTTTATCTTAGTTTTTTTTAAATTTAATTTATGTTTTCTAAAAAAAAAATTTTTCTTCCATTTATTCTATAAACCCTACGATACTAAGAAACTACTTATCCCATATTAAAATCCTTTTCTTTTAGCTTGAAAGGAAGAAATAATGATTAAAATAGGACCTAATCAAAATAAATTCTAACTCCTTTTAATATGTAAAAAAAATTTTAATACCTATTTTGACGTGTTTAATAGTTTCTATAGTGTCGAACCACATGTCGCATACCTTAAACTGGAAGCTAAGCTTGTAAATACCGTTTGACTCGAAATTATATTTTAACGGTAAATTCGTGAACTTTATAATAAGGAGAAAAATAAAAATAATTTAGTTTATAACCAAAAATATAAATAAAATAATTAATAGATCCTGATGCAGGTAATTTTTTTTTGTTATAAAATATTCCGACTAAGTTATGGGGTAAAACCTTACAGGTTTCCCTATAAGGAAAATCTCCAATCTTGTAAGAAAAAAGATTGAGCAAAAAAGGAAAGTTTCAATCAATAAGGAAAAATAGCGGGATAGGTTCTATCAAAAAATAAAAATTTGTATTAAAGGAAGAAAATCGTGTTTCTTTATATACTTATAAAAAAAATTGTTATTTTTATAATATCTCTTTTCTTAAATTATTGGTTATTTAAAATTTTCCTTCT